TTTATAGGGTGTTTAGGGTTTAGGGTTTAGGATTTATAGGGTGTTTAGGGTTTAGGGTTATAGGGTTTAGGGTTATGGGGCTGTGCAAGCCTTGAAACAGGAGATGAAAGTCTTGCAGCGAGCGGTGGTACTGCCCACTATCACAGGCGATTGGGCACGAGACCCGTGAGATGTCATGACTCTTGTGCAGCTTGCATCACTCTTCTTTATTCGAAAGGACTCTTCCAGGACATCCTCTTATCGTGCGAGCACATTCCTGCAACAGCAAGCCGAATCATCATGATAGTCGTTTGGAACCCTGTGAGCATCTCACAAAACCGCCCGGAAACAACCCTCACCGACGAGCTAGACCCCTGAAGCCTAAGCTCCGAGAAACCCTCATCTCCAAAACCTCGAACACCCAAAGCTCTGAGAATCTCTGCTCCTGGACCTTCAAACCCCACTGTAGGGGGCCTTAAGAATTAGAATAAGGCTTTGGGGTCAATTATACAATGATAATACTACTTATTATTATTAGTAGAAGTAGCAGTCTTGCTATTATTATTATTGTTATTGTTATTTCACTCCCCAAAATGGCATTGGTAATTATTTAGGCCCCTATACTAAGCTCCTCAACCCCAGAACCCTCAAGACTGAAATGGATCCTCGGCTCCATGGGCGCCAAGGCCTCACCCACCAGGAGGGTCAGGACCCCGGCCTCTTGCGGAAGGAGGGGTCGAAGTCGATCCACGATGTCCTTTGGGGCTTAGGTTGCAGGGCTCGGGTTTAGAATGTCGAGGGGTTTAGGGCTTAGGGTTTTGGGTTTTGGGTGTGGGAGGTAGGGATGAGGATTAGGGAGTAGGGGGCTGCTTGATTCGGAATTCGGGTGCCTGGAACAAACAGCGACCCAAAACCCTAAGCCTACACCTTTCTGTTCTGGAGGTATTGGATAGAGACGGGTGAGGATTTGCAGGATTTTCTGGCTTTGGTTCAGGGCTAACGTTAAGATGGAGCTTGTATTCGTTTGTCGTTTCGGATTCCGAGGTGTTGGAATTGCAGGGTTGGGTTTTGGCGCTCATGCTCAGTAACTACGGCTTCGGGGGCTAGGGGAGGCAGAGGGGTGGGGCTGAGGAAACAGGATGAAGGCCTACGCTGTGGGAACCCTCGTGACCGTAGAACCTCGCATTGTCACCGCCAGAAACTTATGCTTAAAACTCTGTGTGAGTGTGCACTCATGGCAAGCTATGCGTTGAATGGTACCGGGAAACCTAATCACAGATCATAGACGCGTGCAAAGATCGGGTGCGTCCGGAGCTCAATTGGTACTTAGGTGCATAAAATTGTGCCTAGCACCCGAAGTTTTACGTACAACCTGTTACGACTGCAGCTAGCTTTCCTTGCTCCTTCCTCTGAAACAAGAGCCTGCAGGCCGGGCCTTGTAGGTCCAGGTCGGAAGGGCACCCGGCAAGGTGGCAAAGACCTCCCCCGAGATGAGGGACTTCAGCTGCAGCCGGCCTCCACTTTCCTCCGAAGCCTCACTCTCCCAGCCCTCCTTTTCGGTGTCCTTCTTGGGCGGTTTAGGGTTTAGGGTTTAAGGTTTAGGGTTTAGGGTTTCGGGTGCCCTCCTTTTCGGTGTCCTTCTTGGCGACATCTCTGTCTGCTCTGGCGGCTTCTTTGGCAGCTCTGGCTTCCTCCCTGGCCTTCTTGCGCTGGTCCCTGGCCTCCTCGGCCTCCGCCCGCGCGCAGCGCAGGCGCTCCTCCGCCAGAGGGGTCGGAGGCGGGCAGCCGCAGGCGTCGCCCAAGGCCTCGGAAGCAGGGCCTATTTGAGGCCTTGAGGCTTTTGGCTTCAGGGTTTCGGGTCTTGGGGTTCATGGAGGTTTAGGCAATTCTTGGGGTTGATGGAGGTTTAGGCGGGTCTTGGGGTTGGGCTTCAGGCTTTCTATAGAGTTTTGGGGTTTAGGTGGTATATGGGGGGTTCGGAGTAGCCTTGGCTCGGCGAGAGGGTTCGTATATGGGTAGTTCTCTACATTAGGGTCCCTTTTTAGATCCCAAATATAGTACGGCACCCTTATAAAAATAAAAGGACCTTAAAAGGGACCCTAATTTAGAGAACTACCCATATACAGCTTAAGGGATACAAGATCCCACTCTCTGGGGTGCGAAACTGAGAGGCGTGGCACCAGCGGAGGAGCAGCTCGCAACCCGGTGAGAACAAGGCCATGCACTTCACGGGGATAGAGGTAACCTGCAGCCATGGCAAAACCATTGAACTTAGGGTTCAGGGTTTAAGGTGTAGGGTGTAGGGTTTAGGGCAAAAACATCTGCCAAACAGCAAGATCCTACAACCCTTAACCGCCTTAACCCCCATGATCTCTGCAGCGCCAGAACCCTATGCACCAAATCAACCCCTAAAACCCCAAATCCCCGCAAATACCCTTGGAGGAACCCCTGTAGGACGATTTGGCCACGCTACCTCCATCTCTGAATAAAGTATGTCCCGGATGCGGTTCCTGTCGCTGGCCTGGGAAATGCCCAGTCCCCTCCGTTCAAGGTTTAGGGCTGCAGGGTTGCTAAGCATCGAGCCTTCTGTAGGGATTAGCATTTGATTAGGGAGGGCTGCAGGTTTTCGTGGGCCGGGGAACTTAAAGGATCATGGGACTTAGTAAGTCGGGTTATAACTAAGGTAACTGTACTTATAACCCCAATTAGGGGACTTATAACCTTACTTACGAAGTCCCATGATCCTCCAAGAAAAGAGCGCTCACCAAAACCCACAAGCCCCGCAGCCCGAAAGACTCCAAACCCTCAACCCTCAAAAACCTCCTGGAACCCTGATCCCTGAACCATGTAAACCCTAAATGCTGCAAGCTCTCCCCCCTAAACCCTACTTGGAGGATCATGGGACTTCGTAAGTAAAGTTATAAGTCCCCTAATTGGGGTTATAAGTATAGTTACCTTAGTTATAACCCTACTTACTAAGTCCCATGATCCTAAACCCTAAACCCTAAACCCTAAATCCTAAACCCTAAACCCTAAACCCTACTTACTAAGTCCCATGATCCTTTAAGTAAACCCTGCCAAACCCCCTCCTCCGGCTCGAAGGCTTGAATCGCAGCTATGAACCCGACGTCCCCTCTGAGGAGATCTTGGATCCTCAGCTACTGATTTAAGGGCTCTTTTTGGGGGGTTTAGAGTTTAGGGTTTAGGGTTTAGAGCTCAGGCTTCGGGGTGCAAGGGTTTAGGGCTGAGGGTTCAGGAGTTTGGGGTTCAGGGTCCAGGGGCGGGGGGCTTCTGTACCGGGCTTGAGCATAGAAGCTTCTTGGAAGCTTCAGCTTGTAGGGTTCAGGGTTTAGAGTTTAGGGTTTAGGGTCACGTTTTCGGTGCGGTAGGGTTTAGGGTTTTGGCGTGAGGGTTTAGGGGTTTGGGAGACAAAAGCCTTGCTGCACACTGCAGGAGTTCAGGCCCCGATAAGGTTCTACAGCGGCTTTGTAAGAGGTTTGAAAGACTTTTGAAGAGATGTATAGGAGTGTAGGGTTGAGGGTTTAGGGCTTAGGTCTCAACTTCCCTTACAAGGCATCCCCAGTATAGGTCAAGGAATCGACATCTTAAAGGAGGCATCCAGGACCAGGAGACTCCATGAGGAGAAGAAGTAGTGGTAAATGTAGTGGCCTTAATAAATTAGAATAGGGTTTTGGGCCCCCCTTTGAAAGGTACACTTATGATAAGGAACCTGAGGAATACTATTGGTAATTATTTAGCTAAACCCTAAACCCTAAACCCTAAACCCTAAACCCCTATATTAGGCCCCTAGCAATCGAACCCAGGGGCTGTGACCAACTCGCCGCCGAGCTCTCTGGGCGAGTGCAGCGCAGGATCGCCACGAAGAGGGTCCTCGCGTCATGCCGGGTTGAAGTTGAAGGCTTTGGGCTTCGGTTTAGGGTTTAGGGTTTAGGGTTTAGGGTTTAGGGTTTAGGGTTTAGGGTCTAGGATTTAGGGGTAAGTTTTAAGACTTAGGGTTGGGGAGGTTAAGGTGGGGGGCCTTAAGAATTAGAATAGGGTTTTGGGGATTCCTTGTTATGGTTATAGTCTGACATACCCCAAAAACCCTATTCTAATTATTACGGCTCCTATGTTCTGTTTACGGCTCTTCAAGGCACTAACATCTAAAAGAAGCCACGGCTGCTTCCTACTGTCTTCGACCTTGTGTTTACACGAAGTAGCTCTCTACCCCGGAATCGGTCCTCACATAGCTGGGCACGGGACCCTCCAGGACATTCCTCCAGTCCTCGACCGTAACGAAATCGAGATCGGAGCTGGCTTGGGGCAAAGGCACCACATCCGCTGCCATGGCCATGGCATCCAAGCTGCTTCGGCTTTCGGGGCTTGGGGCTGGGTCTTTTTAGGCTTTGGGGTCTTTTTAGGCTTTGGGGGCTTTGGGTTTTTGGGGGGTATGGGTCTAAGATTGCGGGCATCTAAGGTTTAGGGTTTATATAGGGCTTTGGGGATTAGCGAGCAATGCTGCAACATCTTTATGCATTGCTTGGGCTATGCAGACCATATTACACATGACCCATATCATTGCGCGTGGGGGGGTGGTTGAAACATTGTGGCCACTCACTCTGGGCCACTTGAGCGTCTCGCTTGCAAGATAGTTTGAACCAGGCACATGCACACCTAAACCCTAAACCCTAAACGCCTACTATCTTCACCTCTTGAGAGCAGCTCCGAGGAAGATCAGAACTCCCAGGCACTGCCCACTTCTCGGAATTCAGATCCATCCTCTCGTGTCAGCGTATTACATTTTGAGTGTTTATGGCGCAGGCGATGCTCTATTTCAGTCGGCCATGGGTCCTGCTTTGCTACCTTCTGCTATTGTTTCGTGAGTCCTGATGTGCAAAACTTCTGTACTACATGATGTTGCTATCGCCGAAGACACTTCACGACATTAGCACCACCCCTTTTCGGAGAAAGATAAGCCTATGCCAGCAAAGCTCCAATCCGTGAGAACATGGCCAGGGCACTAACAGCAGCACCAACCCAGCCAGCGTCAGAACATACCTCGGGCCCGGGTGTGGGTGGAGTGTTGGACCCTGAACTACTAATCTAGGGTTTGGGGTTTAGGGT